GCAACGCGTAAAAACACAGTATAAGTCATTATAATCAGTAATTATGTCCCCACTGGATTCAACAAATGCCTAGTTTGTAATGGGTTTTATTGGTTTTGTCTCGTGCTGGGAGATGGCATCACAGTATGTTAAGGGGTGTAACATTTCTGTCACACGTTTGAGGTATTCAGCCAATCACAACGCACTGGATAGCTGGCCAATCAGCGTACACCTCGCTTTTCAGAACGATGAGCTTTGTAAAAATCGACGCGTTTCAGAAAGGCGGGGCATAGAGGAGCAACAATAATGTACATTATGTGGAAAATAATGTTGTTGTTTTTTTACCTTAAACCGCATAAACACATTGCATTACACCAAATACACAACATAATGTTCTTTTTAGCAATGTCATATGACCCCTTTAAACATGCAGTATGCTCGAGCTGAAGCTGCCGCTGCCGTGGCGCCTGTGCGTTCAACGCCGCATGGAAAACACCTGCAAACAAGAGACTTGTTTGTTGCCCACTCAAATGACCTAAACGGTTTCTCGGTTAAATGGTTGCGCTTAAAATATTACGTGAAACATTTATGATACAACATGACAAGGACACAAAGTTGAACTCAATGTAACAAGCCAACTAACAAAGTGCCTAAGAAAGGTGAATAGCCAGAACATACTGCGCGCTCTTGAATGTCTGGTACTTGTGTTTGCGTCAGACTACACAACAAATCCAAGGTGGATGCAACAGTAGAAATTAGATAACCAGCAGACTTTCCTGGCGCGGCGCGACGCATGAGTCCAGCAGACCCATAGGTGAGTCCCAAAGTAGGCCCAAGAGATTTGTTATGTTTCTTGTTTCTTTAGGATCGCGCTGCATTCAGAATTTAATAGAGAGTTAAATTCTGTTTCAGTTCCTAAATTTGAGGTGGCAAACAGTAGTTTAGCTGTAAGAAGTAGAATTAAAAGGGAGTGGAATTCAAATGCTTTAAGTGTAGTTTTTAATACTTCATTGAACGTTTAAAATTAACCGTAAACATTAAATTATATACACAATTAGTAACCAATATTTGAAATGCCACCTTTATATTTTCTATTTTCTATGTTGTGTGTACATGTTTGACTCCTAGACTAAAGTCTATTCTTAAGTTCTGAGCTTTTTCCAAGTATCTTAATTCTGTGACATGAATGAAAAATTGGTCACAGACCGAAAAAGGTTGACAACCCTTACAATAACTGGAAGCCACGGCACTAATGAACTAATGTAATCCCTGCATCCATTTTAATGAAGACTGAAACCACTGAAGAGTCCTCAAAGATAAATTGCTCTGTGTTTCTGGTGATGCAGGCATGATGAATCATCTCTCTGATCTATAACCTCTTGACTCCTGCAGTCTGGATCATGGCAGAAAATTAAGCCAAGAAACAGCAGAGGTGAAGAGGTGAAACGAGATGTGGTTTAAATACAACACAAATTACACCAGAGATGCAAGTTTAATCATGCGGATGACTGTTAATTGCTATGACATCTGTATGTTTTTAATCTGTTTTCTCACAGTTTTACTGCGGTAACTGCCACTGGCTGACAGCGAGGACTAAGACAGTCTGATCAAACTCAGACTCGGAGATATTCCAGAGAGAGGGAGCGCACGGAGGGACTCTTTGATATCAGAGCTGGGTAATCCACTTTTTTATTCCTCTGTCATGTCTTCATCCCTCCGCCAAAGTGCCCTTTCATTAACCTTTGACTCCCGTTACCATGGCGTTTGAAGTGCTTGGTCTTAACTGGGCTTAACGCTTAAGTCACAGTTTTTTTTTTCTCTTTTTCTCTCTCATGTCTTTTATTTTTTTCTGAAAGTATCACTTTCTCACAAGTCTGTTAAAGGGCACAGGTCATGACTCCCTCTAAACTTGTGATATCAGACTTCTCTTTGCTGCTAGTTATTCACTTAGATAGCAGTGATAAAGATGTGAGTTGGTTGATTCTGGATCAGAGGATTTTTTAAAGGTTCAAATGTTTGAAAATGAAAAAAATATATGTGTTGCTTGTTTCGGTGTGAACAATTCATGATCCAGTGTTTTCAGTGTTTACTGTAAGAGCAGCTAGGTTAACAGTAAATGTTGCTTCACATAAATTCATCTTTATATGTGCTATGAGCTTAGGTGCTTATTGCATACATTTGGGAACGCAACATGCCTCAACCATCTCCCCAAATTTGTAAGCAAAATCACTTAGAAACTGGCAGTTCGCAATAATAGAGGCTTTAAGATCTACCTGCAATTTTCCACCAAAATGAGGACTTGATGGTTTAATGTTTAAAAATAAAAAAGACAAATATTATTATTTATATTATTTATATTCTATATTTAATTTAAATATTATTATTGCAGTTTTACTGATGTACTCTAAAAACATAATAATTATTACATCATTATTGAATTAAACACTCATTTTTATTTTACAGTGAGACATTGTAATATTAATCTTATTTAATAATTGTATTTTGTAATATAATCATATATTTGTTTATTTTTATCGGTTTATTATTATTAGCAGTAGTAGTATTATCATTGCAGTTATATTTATATATGATCACAAACATTTTGGACAAATTGTGCAGACCAATAAACAAGCACAGCAAACCTGGATATTTTTTAAAAAGAAAAAATTTGACACAACAAATGATGTAGTCTTTGGGACCTATTTGAGCAAACGCTGGCAGTTGGAGGGGTGAGACAGATAAATACATTGCTAGAGCCATGGCTTAATAATAAAAATAATAACACAACAGTAAGAAAACAAGTGAGTTCAGCATAGGTTTTACTCTCGTTCATCAGCAGAACATTAATTTCTCATGGGATGACACTTGTGGAAGTGTCTATGTAATCTTTGCACAGTACTGTATTAAGAACCAGCACAGCAGAACAGAGAATGAGATCCCAAATAGAGAGTAGAAGGATGGAGAAAATGGAGTAAAACTATTAGGACAGGTGGATAAAGACAGGAGGAGCCTCAGGAGGAGGGTAGACTTGTGCCGGTATTCGGTAATGCGATATATCACGGTAATGAATATGCACGATAATATTTTATTTTACATTTTAATCTGGACTACAACATGCCCTAGCTATTGTTTGAAAGTGTTTTGATTCTTTATTGTTCGGTCACACTTTACATTAGGGCTTCATTAGTTAACATTAGTTAATTCATTAGTTAACAAACTGCCAATTAAAAATTCTTCTGAACATTCATTAATCTTAGGTATTAATGTATTACTAGTATTTTTAAACAAAGATTAATAACTTCTGTAGCAAATGTAGCTATTGCTCATTGTGAATGTTAATGCATTAACTAAGGTTAACTAATGAGGTCTTATTGTAAAGTGATACCTATTGATCTTTATAGTTCTTTTGCACTTTAATCTGTGTAAAACTTTTAACTTTATACATTTTTCTGTATTGCTTTATTGCATTTAAATGTTATTTTTGTTATAAGAAAAAAGTTATTAAACCTGTTATACTGTATTATGACAGCACTTTTTTTAAAACTACATTTCAATATCGTGATAATACCGTATACCGTGATAAAAGCATTAGCAATTAATCGCAACATGAAAATTTGATACCGGCATATCCCTAGAGGAGGGATGGATTAAGAGGGCAAATTCACAGTTTGGACCAACAGAAAGCTGCTTGGTTTGAAAGTGAGTTTTGTGTGAGCTGTGATTCATACTTTGCTACACCTGTCAATGGATCTTTTTGAGCACACATTAAGAGTGTAAATAAGATCAATTTTGACCTTACAATAAGTTTTTAAACAACAAAATGATGGAAAGTTTTTTGGGAAGGAGGAGAGAGAGGCTGCAAAGGAAGACAAGCACAGGACTGTAAAGTTTAATTTTGATGAAAATGCAGCTTCTGTGCATGTTCATTTTTAAGACGATGTGTGTTTGAGTGTGTGTGAGTGTTGGGTACTGCAGAAAGTGGTTTGTGTGTTCAGCATTGATAGAGTTCCAGCATCTGTTGTGTCTCTCTAGAGGTGTTAAATTTATCTCTGTTACGAAACACTGGAGAAACACACAAACGCACACTTTGAAAAAGCTAATGTTTACCAGCTGTTTTAGTGCTGTAGATCTGAGTCTTACTAGTTCACTCACTTTGCTTTTGCCCTGACTCTTTATTATCAAAATGAAACTTTTTGAATTTAATGTCTGATGGCCACATTTGGATTCGTCTAAACTGTAACATTCACATTCAGCCTCCAAGGCCTCTGTATTCAGTATGCATGCACACACACACACACTTCAAGGTCTTTCTGTCAGCTTCTATAATATTTGCATCACACCTGGATAGCGACTGTACACCCACACATACATGATCGTACAATGTGTACTCTCTCTCTCTCTCTCTCTCTCTCTCTCTCTGTCTCTGTGTAGTAAGGCCTCACTGTAATCACACCTGAATGGCACACAGATGGAATCAGTGGTATTTAGTTCTGTTAAACCTCTTAAGGTTTAACAGAACTGACCACCAGCGATTGGACTGACAACATTTATGATCAGACCACTTAAACCACTTTCGAATGTAATTAGAAATGCATGTGGCCACATTACATTTGTAGTGTAAACGATAATCAGTCCAAATGCTGTACGTTGCAGACAGCAGCAAAGACTGACCTGTCAGTCAACTGCTGCGTTAAAACAAGGGTTTAACTTTGTCATTTTATATGCAGCTTTCAAAGAAAATTACCATCCGATTGGAAACTTTGGGGGAAAAAATGCTTCAAAAGTTTGGTGTCACCAAGGAATTTATTTTATAAAAAATACAGTAAAAACAATAATATTGTGAAATACTTAAAAATAACATAAAATACCTAAAAAATAAATAAATAATAAAAACTGTTTTGTATTTTAAAGGGGTCCTATTATGCTCTTTTACAAAGTGTTTATTTTGTTTTGGGGGTGTACTAGAACATGCTCTCATGCTTGGTGGTTTGAAAAACGCATTATTTTTCACATAATTTACATTATTACCAGGGGTGCACATAAGTTTTTCAGCCTGGTTCTCATATGAGAACCTGGAGATTTGGTTTGGTCCTCACACGGCACATGGTGTGACCCATCAAATATAACTATAAAAAATTAATTAATAATAGTGATAATATTATTGCACTTTATTTGTATTTTTTAAATAAAATAATAAACTAAATAATAAAGTGTGATAATACTATTTTATTTTAAAATAAAAAGGGAGTATTAAATACAAATACAATTATTTTATAGTAAACTTAAAAATAAAATGCTAATATTATTATTATTATTTTAATTTGAACCTTAATTATTATTTTCATTTTAATTATTTTCATTTTTCATTTTCAACTTAAAATCAGCAAGCTTTTATTTTGGCGGGTTGCCGGCAAGTAAGTATATGCGCTTCCGGGTTTAGCGCTGCCGTATGTAGAGCGTCAGTGAATGAAATGTCAGTTTTGCATTGTGCTTTGAAAATGTTAGCGGGTAGCCTAGATTTATGCTTTCAGCTTGAATAGAAATCTTATACAGTACAGTTTGTCGATCTAAAATGGTAATTGCGCAGTAACAGCTGTCAACCATGTCGGTACGCAAAAGCGCGCTCTGAACTAATTTACACAGTGCATTTCTTATTTTGGTCGCGCATGCTTGACCTGCGATCCACTTATGTGCACCCCTGATTATTACAATACCTTTCTCCCCAGCCTGGCACAAACGGCTTGATTAGTTCCGGGTTTGATGAAGGACCACCTTCCGAAAAACGAAATATGTTGTGATTGGTTAGCTGTCCCTGTGCGTTGTGACAGAACCTTTGCACGCACGGATATTGCAAGACATATTACAGTGGTAACGTTATTTTTTTGTTGTTGTTTTTTTGGCTACATCACGTTTTAGATAGGATGTCAACAACCACTTAAAAATAACTGCTTTTACTATGTACAGATAAGTGCATATGTGTTATGTTTCTTGTTCTTTAATTCTAACATTATAACATGAATTGCAGTGAAACTGTTATACACTTTAATTTATTTATACCATAGTCTCATAATTGAAGTGTAAATTCTGCCGATTACATAATTGTCCAGTATTGTACTGTCAGCAATTTATAAAAACGTTTTCATAATTGTAACATACATATTTACTTACATAATTATTCAGGTGCATGTGTAATAACTTGCGAAAACTTGACGCTACAGCAGCACTTCTTCTTCGTCGTCATCTTGTCTGATGCTCTCAACCAAGCGTTCTAACCAAGACCTTGCCCCTCCCCACCCCCCAACCATTCGAATTTCCGTAGGCGGGATTTATTTTAATGATATTCTAATAGGCCGCTTTGTGACATCACAAACCCCGGAAAACATTATGCCCAAACATACACACTACACACTGACTAAAATTCAAAAAGTGAAAAAGCATAATAGGACCCCTTTAAAATATTTTTTATCAATAATTTATTCCTGTGATGTTTAATCTGAATTTTCCTGTCTCCAGTATCACATGATCCTTCAGAAATCACTTTTTTTTTATCAACATCAATGTTGACAACAGCTGTTGAATAATATTTTTGTGGAAACTGTGATACATATTTTTTCAAGGTTCCTTGATGAATAGAAAGTTCAAAATAACAGCATGCATTTTAATTTTTTTTGCACCA